AGGTTTGGGAACCGGGCAGCATCTAGTACTAGGGGGAGGGGGACCAATTTGTAGTACCCACAGTCAGGGGCCCAGGCTTCAAAACCTTTTAGGGTACAGCAATAAAGGTGGAAAAATACCCCAAATGTCGGCCAAAGTAAAGTTGAACCAGTTCAAAAGTCCCAAAAAGTGTCTGATGAATGAACAAAAAAAAGGGGGGGGGAAGATTTTCTATTTTTTAAGTTTAAATAGGTAATTTTACCTTACCCCTGAAATGACCCTCGTATTGTAGATAGTCTTTTATGCCCCTGGGGGTGTAGTAGTTTTTTGACCCTTTTTGTAGATGTCTTAATGCCCTCTTTGTAGTGGGTTGTCTTTTTTAGTATGATAAAAAGATTTTTTCTTCATTATAGAATAAAAAAAGAAATTTTTATAACCTTTATTTATAATAATAAGGAAAAAAAGGACCCCAATGGAAATAAGCCCTTTGTGTGCTTTTTTGGGTTACCCTGGGTTCTCTCCTTTGCTGCTATTTTGATAATTTATGTTTTGTTTGTGTTACCTGAAAAAATTTACTTACTTCACTTATTTTACCCGAAAAAATGACATTTTTGTTGAGTGCATAGCAATTAAGTGCCTTCAGAGTTTAAAAAAAAAATATGTGATGTGTAATCCTTTTGATGTGTATGAGTAAAATCCTGGCATTAATAAATGAACTATATTTTAGGCCATGTGGTTTGTGAAGATTATTTTGGGTTTTGTGTTAGTAACAACAAGGGGGGAGGGGAGGGACGCCTTTGTGTTACCTCCTGGGGAAATTTTCTCTTTTCCCCAAAATTAGAAGTATCTATCAGGGGCAGGGTTTCACAGAGGGAAGGGCCGCGAGGATGGTGGGAAGCACATTGAGAACTAAAGGGGCAGGCGGCGCTGTATGACCTCATCCCGGGTTGGGGGGGATGTCGAAAAAGGGAAGGGAGCCAGGTTACTCACAACTTTTTTCACTTTTTTTTTTTTTTTTGCTCTTTTTAGGGGAGTTGGGGGGGGGGCTTGATGTGTAAAGAGATTTTTAAACCCAGTAATTGGGCTCTTGTTCATTCCCCCCAGGCACTGTATCCCTGCACTCACCCACGGGTTTACAGCTTTCCTATGAAAATTATAATTTGTATTTTTAATTAGTTATATTTGGGATGATATGAAATAATCTTGGTGAATATTACCGATTTGTTAGGTAAAATGGATTTAAGTGCATGGCTGTCAAGCCATTTTGGCTTTAAAGCTCTGTAAAATGTTACTATATTTGCAATTCTCCCTATTTTAATTAATGTGGTATGAAATGTTTGTTGACTTTTTATTTTGAAGTATGGGAACTGTATTGCCCTTGTTGTTTAGCGCTTCTTTTTGATTATAATAATAATAATTGAAGTATGGAGTTGCTGACAGGTGGTAAAAAAGCTTTTTTATTACTGAAGCCCCAGTGTGAAATAGTCGTCTGACGTTTTTGGGTTTTCCTGGGGAAATTATCTGTATGATAATTGTACTAATGTCTACCTGTGAACTAAAATAAAAATTACTTGCCCATAAGACTTTTTTTTATTGTCTTTACTGGTTAACCACACTGGCACTGGACAAGCACCTAAAGTCGGTTCCTGACTCAGCAGGATGTGGCTCGTACGTTGGTTTGCGTGCAGCCTAGCAGCAAACAGCCTGGTTGATTCAGGATCTGATCCACCAGGAGGACTGGTCACAGGACCGGGCCGCGGGGGCGTTGGGCCCCCGGAATACTCTCTCCTGTGTAAAACCAGGTTATACTATGCAGCCTCTTCCTCACTAGCATCGTACTCGTTTTTACCGATGACTCAGACTTACAATGGCTCGTGACAGTTATGCATACTACATAATGTATATTAGAGCTGATTTCCTCTAATTTGTGTATTAATATTACCACAATATTGTTAAGTAAAAGGACATCACATGCAACTATTGTAACATTTTATTGTGGCAACGTTTCGCTCTCTCCAGGTGCTTTTTTAAGCAGTTACATTCATCATGGACGCAGAGAGGGAGCATATATAGGCTTTTGTGGTGAGGTGTAATGTAGTGGTGGGTCAGTAGTAGTAATAATATAAGTTGCTGTTTAGTTCTACACTTATTCGTAGAACAATTCAATAGCAACTTGAGTAAAAGGTTATTAAAGCTATTACTTGGGTAGAATAAATAGGGTTTAGTCACAATGTTTCTGTTGCTGGTTAGGATTAGAGAAGTCTGTTTCAGTGTTTCCTCCTACTGTTAAGTTGCTGTTATAGTATTCGCAGGATGAGGACTATGTAATGCATAAGGTTTCATTGTTACCTATGGTACCATAGTTACCATATGGCTACCATGTACCATATGGCTACCATTATACCATGTGGCTAACTTTTTTCCATATGGTTACAAGTTTCTATATGGTTCAAAATCTATAGGATTCCTCTTCAGATTCACTTTCATCAGTGTTTGTAACTATAAATTGGGAAAAGAGGGGGAGAGTCAGTTTTTTCACCATGGGAGTGCAGTAGTGAGGAGTTCATTGCCACACAGGCAGGATGAACAAAGCGTACTGAGATGGTTTTGTTCGCACATTGCAATGTGAGTGCCCCAATTTTTTTTGTTTACTGCCACACTGACAATGCAGACAATTTCTCTTGATGAGGCCTATCAGCTTCTCGCTCTATATTTGAAGCCGGCTAGAAGTTTGGCCCGTAGATGTACGGCTTTGGACATTTGGCTTCAAAGTGGCCTGGTGACTAGAGCTCCCACTTCTACACAAGGAGGGGCCCAGGTTTGATTCTCCGGCGGGTGGAAACCATTTCGGACTCGTTTCCTTACAACTATTGTTCTGTTCACCTAGGCAGCAAATAGGTACCTGGTGTAATTCGACCTGGTGTGTGGCTCGCATCTGGGGGGGACAAGATTGGCAGGGCCCACAATGGAAATAAATTAGGACAGTCCTTGAGGGACACACTGACTTTCTAGGGTTTATCTGGCGGCTTAACCCCTCTGGGGTTAAAAAATCGTGCTTACATCTTATCTTACCCTGAAAGGGTTAACTTGTAATGAAAAAATTTGAGAAAATGGTTACCAACACCACGTGTCGGCTTAGCCTTATGAACCCACAAGTGACTGATAATTCAGAGGATTTATTATCTAGATGTGTGCCTCGCCAAGTGCTTTGCAGACTCAGGGGAGATGGAGCTACTTGCCTAAGGAATTCTGGATGACTAAGTGTTATTATCTTAGATTTTGTGAGGGCTCATAGTTAATTACTGGATTGCAGTTTTCACTTGGTTGTCTTGATTTAGCCTAGAAGAACTTATAACTGCAATCACCTATGTCAGAAGGATTTGTGGATGAGGAGGATGTGTAAAGGTAGTTCGTCTATGCTGGTGTGGCACTGGGGCTGATGGGGGGATGTAGAGGTTTTTGGAGTGTAGGTTTGTTTGGTACTCGACTGGATGGTGTCATCTGTGGATCTCCTGGATTTTGGTGAGTGGGAGGAATATGGTCTGTGTGGAGGGTAGTAGTATAGGTGTTGTTGTGGGAACCTTATGGTGTTACCCACAGCTGGAGATTGTCACTGGTTGGGGGTGGGGTAGTTTGGGGGTTTTAGTCTGACAGGTTGTAAGCACCCAGACAATTGACAAAAAAAAGAACTCGCTTCGTGTTTGTTTTCTGAATCAACCACCGTGGTAGGTGGACCTAATATAAAAAAATTACTTTGCAACTTAGATTCCCCTCCCAAATTGCAATAGCTCATCCTCCTCCATAGTGCTGGCAATTGTACTTCTCACCTACTGGACTAAGTCCAGTTAAGGATTTTCCCTGAATCCCTTATAAATGTCACCTTACTCACACTCAACAATACAGGTCATAAACAACCTCTTACCGCAGCTCATTCCTATGTAAAACATGCTTCAGAAAGAAAGAGACTGAAACAAAACAAAACAAAC